CTGGCCCTCACTTTTAATCCACCCCCTCTTACAGCGTCACGTGACTCTACAGCATGAAGCATCATGGTTGCTATGTTATCAAAGGGATTCCTGATGACGTGTATTAATTTGATTGGCACTTGGACGACTTCACGGATTTCGTCTAGAACACTCATCTTGTCGGTTAATGCCAGTGCAGTATCCTTTCCTTTCCTGTCACCGATAACCTTGAAAATCGATTGAAAAGAAAATGATTGCATAAATTAAAAAAATTTTAAAGAGGTCAACACGACTGAGACGAAGCGATAAGGAGGACCGGATCTATCAAAGACTTAGATCGTGCGGAGTGGAGAAATAAAAACAAAAATAAGACAAAAAAAAGCGTATCCATTTGCCCATTTGCGTAATATTCCGATAGCAAACGTATGGCTTGGAAGGCATGTTGTTGTTGAAAGGTGGGCGGGGGCGGAGGGGAAGGGGGTTATTTAGGGCGTGAAAGAAGAGTTAGATGTTGGTAGCTATACGGTAGTTCACCTTAATTCTGTGCTGAAATCCTCCTTGCCATAGGCCCGGAATATGGTAGTTGTACCTTGACTCTTGCCTCAGGCAACTTTCGCTGCTAGCACGTTTAATGAACATAGCATGTTCCAAGGAATGCTGGTGAAGATCGTAAAATAAACGATATTTTTGCATGCGTTTCTCTTTAAGTTTTGTTGACTGGTATTGTTCCCATTTCTCTATCACCGGGTACCCAGGCGAGATAACAATTTCCGGGTGGGCATCCAACATGGCCGCCACTAGGCTATGACAACTGCGCTTGTATCCGATAAACATCACAAATGTCTGTACTCCGTCATACAATCTGAAAAGTTTCTCAGCAGGTGAGAGATGATGTGTTACCTCTGAAATAGACAAAAAACATATCAAGCTTTAGATGTCGGCTGTTTAAGAATTTTTTTCCTTCAGTCCGAGTTAATAAACTACTAAATTCTACTGCATGAAAATTAATCAAACCCGAGTCTTTCGTGCTCGTGGGTACAGCAAAATATGGCAAGCTTTTCCTTTTCAACTGAAGAAAATCTAAATTACATGAAAAGAATATTCCGGCACAGTACAGAGAATTTTTCGGGGTAAAACTTTACACGAGAAAATAAAACCCTTGAAAGAAAACTTTGTGGGTAGACTTTAATCTGTTGAGGCCGATGAAGCCTTTCCTTAACGAACAGTTAAGCATCACTTGGTTACTAAGCTTTACTTGGGGGGAGATACTTGACTAGTACTCGGCGTAGGTCATGCGAACAATCAGGTTACGCTTCAAAGGCGTTTACCCTCGTTGTAGCATCTTAGAGTAATCATCAATAGCGGAGCTCCTGCGGCTCGAAGGGCAGCTAAGCGGAGCACCATATACTCAGTCATGGAAACCTGGAGTTTGCTTTTCTCATGGTCATCATGGCTAGCGGTATTGCTCGTGGGCGCGTGCACACGACGACGAAGTCGCGCAACATGGCGGCCATACTGCAGCTAATTAATGGTTCGACCGAGGTATGCAGCCTTAGCTTGGTTTACAGCGTTCATCATTGATATTGGACATGCATGTTACGGTCAATTGGCACCTGTCAAAGCGAAGTATCTGCTGACCAGTATCATGTAACCATATCGCTGGCTCGGGTTTAGAGCTTATCAAGGTCACATGTTTTTATGAAGTTGAAGTTCACAGCAATCACGAACTCATTTCTTACCAGATTGTTGCCATCCATTTTGCACTAAAGTAATTCTAAGGCCTTCACTTGCAAGGGCGTCACAACCTGTAGCAAAAGCATCAAGATACATTGAGAGTTCAGGCGAGCTCAGTGAATCATAATCAACATTAAGTATAGTATTCTTATGAGGTTATTAGAATGAAATGCGACAAAATGATTTAGAATGTATTTACCTGTGTTGCCGGTTTTCGAGTCGGTCGATTTTATCTCCTGTTGTTCATTACGTGATCCGTTCACCATATGCTCATTCATAACTACTACAATACAAAATCTCACTGCAGAACCGAATTAACCAGATGTCACATCGGCTGCACCGGAGACGATGAAACTTCTCAATTTGACAGTAAACCTTTAGTTTCGTTGATTAGTCTCAGGACTTACCGATCACCACAGAATAAATTTCCGCAGTGTAGCTACAGACGCAGGTCGGTGAGAAGGAATCCGACAAAAATCACGGCTTTTAAGATGATGAGGTCGTGCTGCAGAAGCCTTGAATAAATTTGCTGTTAATTCCTCGAACAATATAACTCTTTGTTTCAACAGCTTTTAGACTTCTGATTGGCTAGAGAGGACGAACGGGCTTAATTACCTTTAGGGCGGTGCATGTATACTGTGACAAGCAAACCGCGCCAAACGCAAGGCAACCACTTGTAACCAACGTAGCCTTACTTAATGTTATTGTATTTTCGCGTTTTAGTATTTTGTTTCCGTTTTTCAGTTATTATGGGCATATTCGTCATTGTAATTAGTTTCACCAGTTATTTTCGGTTACGTAACGTTCCGTATTTTCGTGTGCATTTTTTCATCTGTTGTTTCTATTGGTCTGTATAGTTTCTTCTGTCGTTAGTTTTTTACTTGCCGAGTTGCTCTTGCCATTATGTTTTAGTCTCGTAGTCGCCACACACATCTTGTAAGTTTCATTATTTTTCAGTCATTGTTTGCTTGCTTTATTTATATTTTGTTTGGTTTCCCGTTCTGTTTATTTAGCTTGTTTATGTTCCTTTTTCAGCGAATCGCTAGTAAAAGTGCGGATGTCTTCGGTGTGGAATTCGACTACATTACTAAACGGATACTTTAACACGTGCGTTCGGCAGAGCACTGATCGCCCAGTGAGAGCGACCCCCATGTAAAAAGGACGGGAGCACAATAGTGAGACTTTTTGAACATCGAGCATTAACATAATAGTGATAAAAATAAATAAAACTTTGAGCATTATAATTATGTAAATCCCTTAAAAATTGGAAGGAAAAAGCCGTGTGAATGAGTTTGGGAATTAAAACCCTCCTCGCTGTTCTCTTTCGGGTAAATCAACGCAGCGGCAAGTGCAAGTAGATTTTATGTTACTTGCACTGTTAACAGTGGATGTTGAAAGAGTTTTAAGTAAACAAAAGCCGTCTCTTATGTCTCTGACCTGTTTAATAGCGCGCAGATTCTCGGCGTTGTGGGAAGGAGTACGTGACTGTTCGGGTGGTCTAAATGGTGTAAACTCCGCGGGAAAAACTAGAAATCAAAGTGAACGCAAGTTACCATATTTACGATTTGCATAGCCACACAGGTTGACATGTGGAAACGGCACATATAAGCGTGCACTGACTTAAAAAGGCGCAAGGAATAAAAATTTCCATTTTCGTTCTGTCTTCACTTGGTAAGCTAAGATAAAGTGAACGTAACGCTGTATGATCCGGGTTTTACCCAGGTCACGCTGTTTTCCGGTGCCGCACTGGAAGTGGCGCCCACTGCCGACAAATAATCGGGAAATCTTCCAGTCATCTTTGAAAGGCTTTGGAAATCTTCGGGTTAACTTCGTAATTTCGGACATCCATGAGATTAAAATGTTACGCATTTGGTAGCCACAAGTCAGCGCAAGTGGTTTAATTTGTATAACATTTATCGACAAGTGACAACTTATTTAAGAAGCAAGGAGGACTAATGATGTGGATTACAATGTGGGCAAAATTGAAAAAGATATTTTGTTAAAAAATTATGCAGTGAAGGGAATATTCCCTACATTTATTAAGTCTGAACAAATAACAAGCGACGGTAATACACAAGCACTCACAACTCCTGTATCCGTATGATCGATTAAAACGCTGGCTACATCATAATAATGCACCAAACATGTACGACACGAGCGTGGGAAACAATATGAATACTTAATTTAACAATAAGAAGTTTCCCCACCCCTCAAAAACATTCGTTTTCAAAAATTTAACACAACAAGATAACTGGTGTTCGTTCTCGCGACTTTCGACTGTCTCGATTCCTTTCGTCGCTCTTTCATAACAATGTATCTCGACTTCTAAAATCTAACATCGTTCACGGATAAAACCTAAATCAAGGCGTTAAAAACTACTGTCCCTTGTCAGACAGTCATGCATCAGTCGTGGTACATCGCGTGTAGCTTCAGTACCTCTTGGCGCATTCGGTGGAGCAGAAAATCTGGTTTTTCCTGGGATGGCGGAGAAACTGCTTTCCAATCAGAGATCTCTTGCACAACCCACACTTAAAGCAGGCGTCGGTCGCGTGCCAGAAGTAGCCCTCGTATTCGATCCTCTGAGCGTCAGCGTTGATGATTTCACGGCAGTCAAAGCACTTCTTGGCGTACAGACGGTTGTAGCACTGCATGCAGTGAGGGTGCCCATCACGTGCTACGTACAACAGACCACCAAGATCCAAATCACACTCGTAACAACAGAAGTGCTTACGGTGCCAGTTGCGGTCCTCGGCTTGAGTGTACTCCCGGCTAAAGATAAGCTGAAAAAATATAAGAAAACAGAAAACAACAGTTGTAAGTTTGTAGTAACCGTCAGTCGGATAAATAGGAGTGTTCAAAGGTAGAAAAGAGTATTAAAGTAACTGCACAATTTTCATAGTCGTCGTGGCCAATGTGAAAAGATAACCTTCCGTGCGGGAACCCTTCGACGAAAAATACCCTAGCAATACCCCAATCTGAAGGTTCTTTTGTCACAAGCGTACTTGCAATATGGCTGGCAGTCTCATTCTCCCAATATACTGGTAATGACAGTTTAGAGAACAAGTTAATTTTAATCCATTAGAACTAGCACAGGGGCGGATTCAGAAAATTCAGATAGAAGGGGCCGAGGAAATTGCGGCAGATCGCAAGCCAACCCCCCTCTCTCCAAACCTCAAAAGTCGGTTAAAAAATACAAGAAAAAAAGGGAGACGGCAGCATCCTTCCCCCCAAAATCCGTCCCTGGAGCAGAGTTCTCATTAAGTATTCTGGGCACTTAAGAGTTCTTAAGGTTAAACATTCCGTCCCCGAATAAGCCCCCTATTTCCAATAAAAGCCCCACCAGGCAAAGCCAAAGAATAATTTCGGGATTTCTTCATTACATACTTCATCACAGGCAGCACAGCGGGGTTTGTACAACTCAGCATAATGTCTGCCACAGTAGATGGCTCCTTCCTTGAAGAAATAAATCAGATCCACTAAGATGTTGTTGCAAATTGAACACACAAAGCAGCCCGGATGCCAGCACTTGTCTTCTCCGGCGCGTGAGGCGAACACAGCTATCTCCCCAAGTTTTATGTTGTTACCACATCGGTAACAGACCTGCAAATGATAATTTCAAATGTTACTATTTCAGGGTTACTTTACGATGCCTCTTTTGTTTCACCTCTGTCATTCAGATTAGACCCCTTGACTTTACAGTAAACCACCTTCAAACGTTCTATTTGTAGCAAGACAAATGAGAATTTTATTTCAGTACTCCTGTGAACTGTCTGACCAAATGCACGTTAAGAATTTGGACTTATATTCTGGTAACCTCAAAACAATAGTTTGAAACTAGAAGAGCAAAAAAAGAAAAGAAAAAAAGAAAGGGGGAAAAATAACAATGCATGGAAAAGCCTGTGTAGATAGAACTGCTTTAAGTAACGGTCCATATAAGAAGGATAGCACCACGCGGCAAGGGACACAAAAAGGTGCTAACTTTTGTGCAACTTTGCTATTGTTGTACCATACTTCTGATTGGCTCAAATCACTAAACTCTACCAAACCTTCAGGTAGCTGTATATATACTTATCCGTAATTGATCAACTATCTTCCTCTCAACAAACTTCTTCTAGTCTAAATACCACAGTAATCCTATATGGGGAACATTGGAAAATTGAAAGCTTTTATTGTCTTTGTTTACGACTGTTGTGATTGGTTGAATGTTTTAACACTAAGGAAACTACAATCATGAACAAAAGTCTTGGGACAAATTTGCACTTTTGGCGCTTTTGCGCACACGCCAGACGCGAATACAACTTCGCCTGCCTAACCTCGCCCCCTAACCCCCATACAATGTTGAAAACTAGTACCTGCAATTTCACCTGATTTTCAACATTGTGTTGGGTGGTGAGGGGGAACAGCATCGCGTTTTTAAAGGATATAGCAGCGTTTTTTTCAAAATTCAGTTCTAAAACACAGATAATTCGTTACATGTTACAAGTGTCCCAAAGACTTTTGTCCACGATTGTACCTTTCAAATTAGAGTTTAAATACATTTTATTTCATAAACCTGCTTTCCGTCAGTTGATACATTCTCCGTATAAAAACACAAAGTGGTGGAAAAGTGGGGAAAGTGTATTGCCCCAGAACAATAGAAAATGCTACAGTTCTTATCTGGATCATTGCTTAATACAGAGTGTGATTTGGCAGGGATGCATAAGGTTCCCTGACAGCTCACTCTACTGATGCTAATGCAACAAATCAAGTGAAACTAATTCCTAGATGAGTAAATACGCATTATTATCAAAACACCAATGAAATACCAGGTGAGCTATCACGAAAAAACACGGTAGCTTCACATGTGAAAATAACATGTTATCTTCACAAGTGAAAAGAACACTGTTGCTATGATTACATAATTTAATCAGACCTCTTGTCAAGAAAGTTAAATGGCTTGGTATTTCATTGGATTTTGGTGTTTATATAATAAATAGAACATTACATGGCTGCTTGGAGATACAAAATTTTTTATTTTGTGCTAAAAAGTATTCTATATTTTTCAACACTCAAAGAGAAACTTCGTATCTCTGCACAGGCATGAAATATCCTCTATTTATGTATCACTGAACTATTTGTAATAATGTGCAACTGTTATTCTAAGTCTATAAGACAATGATTCAACCCATGAAACTAGAGTCTAAAGTATTGATCAAAGAGAGACATCAACATTCAACCTCTTGGCACACCCACAGTATTTGACAATTTCTTGTGCCCAGGGAAGTGGGAAATGGATGTTTGGAGTTGTTGTTGGCGTAAGGCATTTGACACTACATTGGAGCGGAAGGGGAGACCATTTTCAAGCTAGAGAAGTTGTCAAGAGACAACACTATTCCTTGCTTTGTGCTGTGTTTGAAGGTACATGTAAATACATGTAAGAAGTTTTGCTCGCAAATACATGTATGTAATCATTTAATGTATATTTTAATGGTGAAAAAAAGCAATACTTGGGACACAGTGGAATTTCAAAGTGGTGTTCAAGGGTGATTTTTTTCCTTTCCCATCACCCATTTTGCCCTGAATGTCCCAGGGGTAGGGGCATTTGATTGCCTAGTATCACCCCTAGGTGCCCAGGCATTTGAACACTGGCACTTTTGGCCAGAATGGAATGGGAATTTGACCAACCAAAAATTCACAAATAAATGTCAAATGCCTGGGAGTTTGCTGGGGGGGGGAGGGAGGGAGGCGAGACTGTTGAAACACACAAGCTCGACACTCCCTGGATTTAGCCTATCTGTAAGAACCATGAATCTGTTTACTTACCCACTTAGAGACAGGGTTGGTCTTTTCTCGTACATCGCCCACACCAAGGGCATTCTGGTTTCTGTCTTCACAGAATTGCCTCATGCTGGCTCTTTCAGGCTCAGTCAAACTGTCACAATAATTTTCATCATGGTCATGGATAGGAAGCTGGTACATCATTTGTTTGCGGCGATATTTTGCACCTTCACTGCCATTTTTAGGCTTGACTGCAGGAGGCAGCGACTCCATGTACTTCATCAACTGTGATAGAAGTACAGTAAGAAAGCATGATGTTGCATGTAGGTATGCAATGCATGTTTCTGATTAACAAAAGACACACTACTTAACAGCAATATTTAAACAGACTCTGTAAATTAAATGTCATGAGTAGTTGAGTATCCTACAACATATACAGTCTGTTTAGACTAAACCAACTCTCACCAACTGTATCCCAGTTTCTGTTAGTATGAATTGGTCAGTAGCATTGCTATCATCTCGGGATGCAATGCTACTCAATAATGGGTTACACCCTAGCATTTGGCAGGAACCCTCCTCTACCCATTCACTTATGACAGGGGGGAGGGGGGAAGGCAGACTCCTTACCATGACACAACAAGTCAGAGTAATTTTGCATTTCATGAATCACACATTTGTTTAGTTAATACACAATTCTTGTAACTACAGGTTTCATGTACTTTATTCACGACTGCTCATTCACAATAAGGTTTTCTTTCAAAAATGGCCAACTACAAAAACAAAGTGACAAACTTTAAACCTTGCACCCCTTGTTTATACTCCCGGGTGACGAAAGGCAGTGGGAGGTTAAGAATAGATGCCTCAATGTCCAAATACCACACTGTAAAGCCTGCCTTGAACCCAGCCTAAGCAATCTAGAAACCACGTAACATAGTGGGATCCAAAAGGACACAAAGGTTTATTTTAAAAGAGGACTCCTGAGCAACAAGAGATTTTCCTTTATATTCTGCTAATATTTTGAACTGACACAGTTACAAGGCTAAGCTACAAGATATCAATGGCAAAATGGTCACCAAAAAATTTCTGTCAAAAGTATGTTCCAAATTTGAATTGACGTGTTCAAAACTTTGAGAATTTTCAAAACAACTGCATGATTAAACAAAGGTACAGAATGTATCAGTTTCTAAAGAAACTGTTGGGCTGCCACAGCAGGCAAATGAAACACCTGAAGTTTGCAAAGGTAAATAATCTGCTGTAACAAGCTAGTGAAGCTGATGTTTTGAGTATTGGTACTTTGTTGTTTTTCTCTGACAATGGGCTATTAATGCTTTAAAGGTCAGGTTCAATAACTTGCTAAAGCCGTTAATTTAGAATAAAATACCTTATCAACTTCAAGTAGACAAATAGATAAGTTCCAAAATCTAAGATACTTTAAAGATTGTGCAAGGCATGTAAGTCCTAAAACTACATATACTGCACCTTTATATTTTAAAACATCTTACATGTGGATATCACTACTTACCACTCCCTGCTGGAGACCGGGTGGAACCCAGGCAAACTGCTTGGCATATTCGGACTGCTGTCCTTTGTTTTTGTTAGCTTCTTCAAGTTTGCGGAAGTAGTCACGAATGTGTCCAACAGGGGAGTCTTTGGAGAACAGACTGTGCACCACAAGTTTATGGGCCTCCTCTTCAACACTCTTGATATCATGTTCCTCAGGTTTACACTTGCATGTTTTGCAGATTTTTCTGTCAGTTAATAAAATAGCACAGGTATATTTTAAGCTTGTCTGAACAAATTTATGTAGTGAATCACGCCACACCACTGACAGATACTTCAGGGTTTCATACCAGTGCCATGATAGCCTGATGGGCAGTACAAAATGATTCTGGTTGTTCTAGTTTTGTGAACACTAGTACACTGGATAGCAATTTATCCAGTTGATAATATTACCCACCCTTTAAGTAGCTGGGCCCAATTTATTCTTAGGCAAGATGCTTCACTCAAGTCTAAGACTTGACTGAATTACAGATGATAGAATCTACAGGTAGAAACCAAGAAAGTATACGAGAGCCCTAAAAGCATCAAAATAATATTTCTTGTTTTCTTCTTATGAAAATTTATATCTGTTTCAGCTCAAAGAACACACCTAACTACAAATAATACCTCCAAAAATGCAAGTCCAATCCCCCCTCACACTTCACTGGGCCACACTTTAGGCAAGGTGCCCCAGCATTCCTCTCATGACCTAAAGTGTACTAAAGATGAGTATCGTCAGTTAGATAATAATTGTAATAATAATAATAATAATAATAANGGTACATCGCGTGTAGCTTCAGTACCTCTTGGCGCATTCGGTGGAGCAGAAAATCTGGTTTTTCCTGGGATGGCGGAGAAACTGCTTTCCAATCAGAGATCTCTTGCACAACCCACACTTAAAGCAGGCGTCGGTCGCGTGCCAGAAGTAGCCCTCGTATTCGATCCTCTGAGCGTCAGCGTTGATGATTTCACGGCAGTCAAAGCACTTCTTGGCGTACAGACGGTTGTAGCACTGCATGCAGTGAGGGTGCCCATCACGTGCTACGTACAACAGACCACCAAGATCCAAATCACACTCGTAACAACAGAAGTGCTTACGGTGCCAGTTGCGGTCCTCGGCTTGAGTGTACTCCCGGCTAAAGATAAGCTGAAAAAATATAAGAAAACAGAAAACAACAGTTGTAAGTTTGTAGTAACCGTCAGTCGGATAAATAGGAGTGTTCAAAGGTAGAAAAGAGTATTAAAGTAACTGCACAATTTTCATAGTCGTCGTGGCCAATGTGAAAAGATAACCTTCCGTGCGGGAACCCTTCGACGAAAAATACCCTAGCAATACCCCAATCTGAAGGTTCTTTTGTCACAAGCGTACTTGCAATATGGCTGGCAGTCTCATTCTCCCAATATACTGGTAATGACAGTTTAGAGAACAAGTTAATTTTAATCCATTAGAACTAGCACAGGGGCGGATTCAGAAAATTCAGATAGAAGGGGCCGAGGAAATTGCGGCAGATCGCAAGCCAACCCCCCTCTCTCCAAACCTCAAAAGTCGGTTAAAAAATACAAGAAAAAAAGGGAGACGGCAGCATCCTTCCCCCCAAAATCCGTCCCTGGAGCAGAGTTCTCATTAAGTATTCTGGGCACTTAAGAGTTCTTAAGGTTAAACATTCCGTCCCCGAATAAGCCCCCTATTTCCAATAAAAGCCCCACCAGGCAAAGCCAAAGAATAATTTCGGGATTTCTTCATTACATACTTCATCACAGGCAGCACAGCGGGGTTTGTACAACTCAGCATAATGTCTGCCACAGTAGATGGCTCCTTCCTTGAAGAAATAAATCAGATCCACTAAGATGTTGTTGCAAATTGAACACACAAAGCAGCCCGGATGCCAGCACTTGTCTTCTCCGGCGCGTGAGGCGAACACAGCTATCTCCCCAAGTTTTATGTTGTTACCACATCGGTAACAGACCTGCAAATGATAATTTCAAATGTTACTATTTCAGGGTTACTTTACGATGCCTCTTTTGTTTCACCTCTGTCATTCAGATTAGACCCCTTGACTTTACAGTAAACCACCTTCAAACGTTCTATTTGTAGCAAGACAAATGAGAATTTTATTTCAGTACTCCTGTGAACTGTCTGACCAAATGCACGTTAAGAATTTGGACTTATATTCTGGTAACCTCAAAACAATAGTTTGAAACTAGAAGAGCAAAAAAAGAAAAGAAAAAAAGAAAGGGGGAAAAATAACAATGCATGGAAAAGCCTGTGTAGATAGAACTGCTTTAAGTAACGGTCCATATAAGAAGGATAGCACCACGCGGCAAGGGACACAAAAAGGTGCTAACTTTTGTGCAACTTTGCTATTGTTGTACCATACTTCTGATTGGCTCAAATCACTAAACTCTACCAAACCTTCAGGTAGCTGTATATATACTTATCCGTAATTGATCAACTATCTTCCTCTCAACAAACTTCTTCTAGTCTAAATACCACAGTAATCCTATATGGGGAACATTGGAAAATTGAAAGCTTTTATTGTCTTTGTTTACGACTGTTGTGATTGGTTGAATGTTTTAACACTAAGGAAACTACAATCATGAACAAAAGTCTTGGGACAAATTTGCACTTTTGGCGCTTTTGCGCACACGCCAGACGCGAATACAACTTCGCCTGCCTAACCTCGCCCCCTAACCCCCATACAATGTTGAAAACTAGTACCTGCAATTTCACCTGATTTTCAACATTGTGTTGGGTGGTGAGGGGGAACAGCATCGCGTTTTTAAAGGATATAGCAGCGTTTTTTTCAAAATTCAGTTCTAAAACACAGATAATTCGTTACATGTTACAAGTGTCCCAAAGACTTTTGTCCACGATTGTACCTTTCAAATTAGAGTTTAAATACATTTTATTTCATAAACCTGCTTTCCGTCAGTTGATACATTCTCCGTATAAAAACACAAAGTGGTGGAAAAGTGGGGAAAGTGTATTGCCCCAGAACAATAGAAAATGCTACAGTTCTTATCTGGATCATTGCTTAATACAGAGTGTGATTTGGCAGGGATGCATAAGGTTCCCTGACAGCTCACTCTACTGATGCTAATGCAACAAATCAAGTGAAACTAATTCCTAGATGAGTAAATACGCATTATTATCAAAACACCAATGAAATACCAGGTGAGCTATCACGAAAAAACACGGTAGCTTCACATGTGAAAATAACATGTTATCTTCACAAGTGAAAAGAACACTGTTGCTATGATTACATAATTTAATCAGACCTCTTGTCAAGAAAGTTAAATGGCTTGGTATTTCATTGGATTTTGGTGTTTATATAATAAATAGAACATTACATGGCTGCTTGGAGATACAAAATTTTTTATTTTGTGCTAAAAAGTATTCTATATTTTTCAACACTCAAAGAGAAACTTCGTATCTCTGCACAGGCATGAAATATCCTCTATTTATGTATCACTGAACTATTTGTAATAATGTGCAACTGTTATTCTAAGTCTATAAGACAATGATTCAACCCATGAAACTAGAGTCTAAAGTATTGATCAAAGAGAGACATCAACATTCAACCTCTTGGCACACCCACAGTATTTGACAATTTCTTGTGCCCAGGGAAGTGGGAAATGGATGTTTGGAGTTGTTGTTGGCGTAAGGCATTTGACACTACATTGGAGCGGAAGGGGAGACCATTTTCAAGCTAGAGAAGTTGTCAAGAGACAACACTATTCCTTGCTTTGTGCTGTGTTTGAAGGTACATGTAAATACATGTAAGAAGTTTTGCTCGCAAATACATGTATGTAATCATTTAATGTATATTTTAATGGTGAAAAAAAGCAATACTTGGGACACAGTGGAATTTCAAAGTGGTGTTCAAGGGTGATTTTTTTCCTTTCCCATCACCCATTTTGCCCTGAATGTCCCAGGGGTAGGGGCATTTGATTGCCTAGTATCACCCCTAGGTGCCCAGGCATTTGAACACTGGCACTTTTGGCCAGAATGGAATGGGAATTTGACCAACCAAAAATTCACAAATAAATGTCAAATGCCTGGGAGTTTGCTGGGGGGGGGAGGGAGGGAGGCGAGACTGTTGAAACACACAAGCTCGACACTCCCTGGATTTAGCCTATCTGTAAGAACCATGAATCTGTTTACTTACCCACTTAGAGACAGGGTTGGTCTTTTCTCGTACATCGCCCACACCAAGGGCATTCTGGTTTCTGTCTTCACAGAATTGCCTCATGCTGGCTCTTTCAGGCTCAGTCAAACTGTCACAATAATTTTCATCATGGTCATGGATAGGAAGCTGGTACATCATTTGTTTGCGGCGATATTTTGCACCTTCACTGCCATTTTTAGGCTTGACTGCAGGAGGCAGCGACTCCATGTACTTCATCAACTGTGATAGAAGTACAGTAAGAAAGCATGATGTTGCATGTAGGTATGCAATGCATGTTTCTGATTAACAAAAGACACACTACTTAACAGCAGTATTTAAACAGACTCTGTAAATTAAATGTCATGAGTAGTTGAGTATCCTACGACATATACAGTCTGTTTAGACTAAACCAACTCTCACCAACTGTATCCCAGTTTCTGTTAGTATGAATTGGTCAGTAGCATTGCTATCATCTCGGGATGCAATGCTACTCAATAATGGGTTACACCCTAGCATTTGGCAGGAACCCTCCTCTACCCATTCACTTATGACAGGGGGGAGGGGGGAAGGCAGACTCCTTACCATGACACAACAAGTCAGAGTAATTTTGCATTTCATGAATCACACATTTGTTTAGTTAATACACAATTCTTGTAACTACAGGTTTCATGTACTTTATTCACGACTGCTCATTCACAATAAGGTTTTCTTTCAAAAATGGCCAACTACAAAAACAAAGTGACAAACTTTAAACCTTGCACCCCTTGTTTATACTCCCGGGTGACGAAAGGCAGTGGGAGGTTAAGAATAGATGCCTCAATGTCCAAATACCACACTGTAAAGCCTGCCTTGAACCCAGCCTAAGCAATCTAGAAACCACGTAACATAGTGGGATCCAAAAGGACACAAAGGTTTATTTTAAAAGAGGACTCCTGAGCAACAAGAGATTTTCCTTTATATTCTGCTAATATTTTGAACTGACACAGTTACAAGGCTAAGCTACAAGATATCAATGGCAAAATGGTCACCAAAAAATTTCTGTCAAAAGTATGTTCCAAATTTGAATTGACGTGTTCAAAACTTTGAGAATTTTCAAAACAACTGCATGATTAAACAAAGGTACAGAATGTATCAGTTTCTAAAGAAACTGTTGGGCTGCCACAGCAGGCAAATGAAACACCTGAAGTTTGCAAAGGTAAATAATCTGCTGTAACAAGCTAGTGAAGCTGATGTTTTGAGTATTGGTACTTTGTTGTTTTTCTCTGACAATGGGCTATTAATGCTTTAAAGGTCAGGTTCAATAACTTGCTAAAGCCGTTAATTTAGAATAAAATACCTTATCAACTTCAAGTAGACAAATAGATAAGTTCCAAAATCTAAGATACTTTAAAGATTGTGCAAGGCATGTAAGTCCTAAAACTACATATACTGCACCTTTATATTTTAAAACATCTTACATGTGGATATCACTACTTACCACTCCCTGCTGGAGACCGGGTGGAACCCAGGCAAACTGCTTGGCATATTCGGACTGCTGTCCTTTGTTTTTGTTAGCTTCTTCAAGTTTGCGGAAGTAGTCACGAATGTGTCCAACAGGGGAGTCTTTGGAGAACAGACTGTGCACCACAAGTTTATGGGCCTCCTCTTCAACACTCTTGATATCATGTTCCTCAGGTTTACACTTGCATGTTTTGCAGATTTTTCTGTCAGTTAATAAAATAGCACAGGTATATTTTAAGCTTGTCTGAACAAATTTATGTAGTGAATCACGCCACACCACTGACAGATACTTCAGGGTTTCATACCAGTGCCATGATAGCCTGATGGGCAGTACAAAATGATTCTGGTTGTTCTAGTTTTGTGAACACTAGTACACTGGATAGCAATTTATCCAGTTGATAATATTACCCACCCTTTAAGTAGCTGGGCCCAATTTATTCTTAGGCAAGATGCTTCACTCAAGTCTAAGACTTGACTGAATTACAGATGATAGAATCTACAGGTAGAAACCAAGAAAGTATACGAGAGCCCTAAAAGCATCAAAATAATATTTCTTGTTTTCTTCTTATGAAAATTTATATCTGTTTCAGCTCAAAGAACACACCTAACTACAAATAATACCTCCAAAAATGCAAGTCCAATCCCCCCTCACACTTCACTGGGCCACACTTTAGGCAAGGTGCCCCAGCATTCCTCTCATGACCTAAAGTGTACTAAAGATGAGTATCGTCAGTTAGATAATAATTGTAATAATAATAATAATAATAATAACAATAACAATAACAATAACAATAACAATAACAACAACAATAACAATATCAATAACAATAACAGTAATAATAATAATAATAATTATTTTATTATTAAAAAAATATAACAAACTTTAAAGAGTACTTTTTCATACAAACTTGAATCTTACATTTATCTGGTAAAAATTCAGAAATTCTGTTGTTCCTTAAGTTTTTTTCCTAAAATAATTTCTATAATAATAATAATAATAATAATAATAATAATAATAATAATAATAATAATAATGACAATGGCACATTTATCTAGGATGACCCTTCAGCACAAAGTACTATTAGAAATGGGGTTCTGCTGACTAAGAATTAAAAACTACGAGTAATAATGGTAGGTAAATAATAATCCACAAACATTTTTGCCATCATGTTTGTGTTACCCTAACAACATTTATACCATGGTTGTCATTGAGGGCTGTAACCCATAACACCTATAACAGCTGAGTATGCTTAATGGGCCCTTGACCTTACAGGTAAAGTCACAAGTTTGATAATGACAGCCCAGTAAAATAATTATGGCATAACCCTATTAATAGTACAGGTAAAATTGCCTATTTACAAGTTATCCACAAAGCAACAAGTTTGATAATGACAGCCCACTAAAATAATTATGGTATTGAATAATCTGAAATCCTCTTGGGTACGAATGAAATCTTTTCTTTTCCAAATCCATACAAAAGTTCTCAAATATCCGAGAAAGAACGGACAGTACATATATTTAAGAATGGATTTTCACCCGTTTTTGGCCAATTTGGGTGATTTTAGGAGTAAAGTTTGGATATTTCATGCATTGTTGTGCATGAATCAGTGGAACTGTTCTAGATTATTCTGAACACTGGCAATGTCTCCCACAATACAATTTATAGCACACATTCAAACAAACTTTGATTCTTGTCATAACTCTCAACCAAAAAATAGAAACACAATACTTGCTGTTACAATGCCTTTTCAATCACTATATCTTTTAAATTTTGAGGTCAAGATAATTGACATTAAATTATACAAACAAATACAAGTTGTAATACTAATATAATTTTTCTATGAGCACAACAGGGTCGCTCAATTTTCCAAAATTGATATTTGTTTGTAAAAATTATCTTTAAAAACCTCATCTGTCAGTAAGTAACTAATGTTTGTGGGAACAATTTAAACCAGAGTGTAGTTCAGATACTGGAATGCCTATTTGTAGTAAGTTATATATGCCCAGTCTTTAAGTTCTGCTAGACCAAAACAGGTAATGTTCACAAACAAGTAAGGAAAAAAACAACTAGCTCTGTACCAGTTGGTGGACTTCAATTTTGTTGAGCAGTGAAAAGAGAGGAATAGAGAGATTAACATATGCAATAGAAGGGCTTATGCAGAAGAATTTACACAGCTGTATTATTACTTTAAGACAAAATACAGAATAACCAAAAAAATTGAAAAGTTCACACAGTATTACACACAAGGTTGATTTTAACAAAATTTGCAGTATGTTGAAATCAAATTCAGCCAATTTTTCATTCAGGCATAAATGTTTCATCGCTGCCACCAGCAAGATAGCTCTTTTTAAACGTGAATTTTAGTAAGCTAAACGGAGTGTAACACATTATTTTGTTAATAAACCCCACCAGGAGATCGATATATATCTACATGTATCATCGATCTAAGCAAGTCTACAGTAAACTTTTCCAAAGATACGCGATAAAACAGTTTAAACCTCCGACCACTAAAAATTCCCTTTTGGCAAGATGAAACAATACCGTCAGAGGACAGATATCACAGTCAAACAGTTTTTTTGACATAAATTAAGCTTCTGTAAACGAAGATTATATTGCTCCCTAAACACAACAGCCTCCACCTCAAATGAACTTTGCTACACACTCGTGCAAGTGGGTACAGCACAACTCGGACGGAATATGAAAAATATAAGCTCTAAACTACATGTGAAACAAAGAACCGATCGAACAAGGTTGAAGGATATGCTTGCAATTGTTGATTGCGAACATAGTAAGCTTTACAAGCTTCATTCTGTGTGGTTTCAGCAAAAATCTTCGAACTGAATTCTACGCGCAACTGCGTTAGGTCAGTTTTGAATGAACGACATAAACAGCCGTGATCTTTCACCAACTGAACATTCCAGACATTTCCAAAGAGACTTAAAAATAACAGGCTTGTGTTATCGCATTATACAAGAACGAATTTGGAACAAACCGTCGTGCGACTAACCTTTTTCGGAATGTGTAAGTTTACGCCGTCTTCCGATCTTGATGACATTTCCTCGGCAGATCGGAAAATTCAATCCTTTTGACGATGTCCTGTAGGTATTCTTCGGGTCAAAAGTTCGACAAAAAAGTGGCTAACAATCAAATTACTTGCTCAGCTATTAGGGCAAAATACTCTCGATATTTCCTTCCCTCCCAGATTAACATGCAAACGGATGTGACTCATCGTGAAAAGCTCGCGGGGAAAGATGGGTCATCCGAGAAACTAGAGATTTCAGGGAGGGGAGGGTAAGATGAAGTCTGATTTATTTCTGCGTTCTGTGTAGAGCTTGGAATATAACTAGTAGCCTGGAATTTTAGTAAAAACACACTTTTTAGTCTACTCTCGGAAAAAAAAACTTCATAAAACAAGTATAAAGCATTCAATTTTTTCATCGTCCTCAAACTTTTAAAAAATCGGTTGGTTTCCGGCAAGAGGTCAATTCAGTCTTTTATAGAAGTTAAGCTGAAAGCCTCATATATATTCTCGAAATTTTAAATTTCAACTTAGATTTAAAGCTTATTACGACAACCGACCGACTCTCACTGAACAGTTTTCAAAACATCAGCTCTTCGACTGTCGAAGCGAGATTAAGTATAAAGGTTTTTTTAAGGTCAAAGTCAACAGCTACACAATACCATCACTTATATATTGAAACAGATTGAAATAACAATGTTCAAGCAAGCAGAAAGTAAACAACGGACTCTTTAAATCTTAGCTAAGAAGTGGTAAATCAAGTTTTGGTGAAGCCTAAAAACAGGAGTAACTCAAAAAGGTTTCTCAAGAGCGCCTGTTCATATCACAAATGCAACGAATTTCTGAAACAGAAAAAATAATGCAAGGCGTAACCGTGTTAAAATAAGTGGTCTCTGACGTTAGAAGCCAGACGGTATTCAAATGAAATTTACAGTTAAGCATCGTTTGACTTCGGTTAATAGTTTAACTGCCTTTTTCTCGTTCTAATACACAATTCAGAAGACGAAAGCTACGCTTTTCCTCACCTCTTTGTGGGACATACTCGGTCGTTTGTGATGTATTCTCTCCTAACTCATTTCCACAGCGTAGTCAGACAAAATTTCTGTGAGTAATTTGAATAATCTTCTTAAACAGGGCTGACCTAGCACCTCTTCACATTCCGAAACGTCTTAGCTATTGTATTTCATTAGGCCTTCTGAAAAATCGTGCAGCGATCTCAATACCAAGGCAACGAAAGCGCGTCTTTGATCACGTGACCTGCTGTTGAGTCGACGAGAGGACCCGACACGAGAGCACACGAGTTTTCTTCAAACAATTTCTGTCTGCAAAACGCGTCTTCAATTCTCAGACAGCGTGCTGGGTCATGGTGGCAAACGAGAGAAAAATTTTAACAAACGGCTAAGGAAGAAAAGAAAAATTGTGTATCGGAAAGAGCGCGAAAGTTTGAAGCTCGTTTCGCGGGCCACGCCTCGACACCAGAGCCTCCGGTCCTTTTGGTCACGTGGTCGGACATTTTAAGACGAGTAGCACTGGTGACGAGAATGATGTCAGCTAGTATGATTTTGGTAAATTATGAGACGTTCACATACGTTATTTCCACAAACGGCATGGAAACAAATCAGGATTGACCCTTGGAGCCGGAGAACTCTGGACTGGAGATCAGATTGGATCGAATGAGAGTTTTTTAAACCGTCTAAGGCAGCAAAATTATAGAGCTGGGGATACGCCCAATCCCTCGACAGACTTCTTCGCCTTTCTATGATGGGAGCTACCCTGACGGGCAGAAGAGCCGAATTGCAGATCAGAGATTCACGCAGGCGGTTCAAAAAGGTGAAAACTATGAACGGAGAAAATGGGCAAGCAAAATTTGCAAGGAGGAACGAAACATTAAGGGAAAAAGAGAACAAAGACAGACACCAAAGATCACTTTTCAATCACCACATTTTAATACCTCTAGTGGTCATTAATATGCGACCAAAATTGGCCGCTTCGAATAATATAAGGAGAGTATGACAATATACAATAATATCTCTATACATTTAGGGAAACAAGGCAACTTTATATCGAAAAGCATTGTGTCAAATGGTATGATTCATTTTCCGCAACTTCTCGGCGTCTCTTCACTGCGATGGATTTGATTGTCCAATAAGTTTGAGAAACCAAGAGAGACATCAAAGATTTTCGCGTGGTGCAACGGAAACAACATTGTCGATATAAGTTTTTCTACATATTAATACTATCGTAACTCTACTTTCTCTTATTCAGCATTAACGTGCCCACTAAGCTACTGGGTCAGTATACTTCAAAGCCAAAGGTATAAGGTTAAGGAAGTCTTGTTCACGAATTCACCTCAAAAGTTCTTCTCGTAGGTTACCAAATTCTGCCTGGCGTAATATGCTCATTATCCTGCGAAGGAGACCCTGTTCGCTGGGTATATACTCATAAAAAAAAGCCTGTAATATGCGTCCAATTATAGCTAATTGCTCGGTGAAGAACTAATTCTGTTGACCTTCAAAACCTGTGGCGGTTTAACAATGACGTGGAAACCTCAATCCTCTGTAGGAAAAAAGATGGCGACTAGTACTTTAACTCACAATTCTTAGCGCACATAGCGAAGTCCCAACATCTGCTTCAAACCTAGCATACACTATGTCGTCAGCACAGGGACATGTATTGCGAAAGTGTGGCTTTCCTTGTACTTTATGGGCTGTGGAAGGTTCGCATGGTATTGTGGTAAAATGAACAGCCGCCATCTTTTTTCCTACGGAGGATTGAGGTGTAAACCACCTTACCTTCTAAACATTTCGACAAAAAAATATGATGATAAAAGCCATGCGTGGTATATGCACGTTTGTCACAAGAGTTAAAATGACTAAAATTGACGCCACGTTGCTTAGCAAATTCTTTGGCCCAAATCGCGGGCCCAGAGTTCATCGAGACCGACTCTTGACTAAAAGTATCTTTATAACTAGCACAAAACAACATAACGGCAACATTACAACTAATAAGCTACTTAATATGTCTACAGTCACTTTGTAATGAAAAACGTAATTAGGAACAAACTGCTCGAAGCTCAGCTATTATAGATGCTGGTAGCAAATTAGGATTACATAAGATATATAACTGTCGCATTCCACAAATGTCTCTGTGCAGTGTAGCTTTGAAGGTCCTAGTTCTAGTCGTGAAGGCTTCGCCATTTATCAATTAATTTTTTTTTTCAACACATAGTTTTGAAAAAAAGTGTTCTTAAATTTCTCTAGGAGCAAAGTTATAAAAACAAACTACTTCATGAAGGATCTGCTCACTAGCTTTAACTCGTCAGGAAAATTTCACCCAGAAACTCTTGAAATAGTAGTTATCGGCGATAGAAAGACTCCTTTCTCATCAGTTCTGGATCAATTTCCCTGATGCTGATCTAAGCACTCCTCAACATGGATTGCCAAGGTGTCATAATCTGGGAATGTCCCTAAGCAACTTGGGCACTGGTTCTCTACGTCGGCGGGGGCGGGGTGGACCTGGGCTCCATTACATCCCACAGCATGTATCTGAAGAGAGTCGAAATCAGGAAACACTCCACGGCAAGTTGGGCATTGCCAGTCCTCCTCGTTGGCACGAGGGAACTGTTCTCGTTGATCACCGCCCATTTGCGCCCGGTCATAGTTTCCCATTGTGCCCTCGAGATTCGGGAATGCTGACGGGTCCTCAGGTCCACGGGAAAACATCGGCAACAACCCGTCAAACCATCCCCTGGATTGCTCGTGTTGTTGTTGTTGGATGTCGCGAGGTTCTGGAACGAAACTGCCATGCCTTCGTTGCATCTCGGTTATTCCTCTGTTGCCAAGTTGATCAATCTCTTCCTGATAGCGTTGGTTGTCCACTTGAAGACGCAAAATTTGCTCGTGTTGCTTCTCTCTAGCTTCACGCTCAACTTGAAAATCTGATCGGTAGAGTTCCATCTACATGGGAAAGAGACGGAAACCAGCACATCAATACAAATACACTGTGTACACCGCAACATGCTGGTTATAAGGCGGTTATCAGACCCCACCCCCACCTGCCCCACCTTACCCACTCCAGGTTGTAGGCCAATCGGTTTACTAACGAGGTAAAAAAAATTCCGGTTGTAGTTTGCCTCTTTTCCCACGATACGGAACCCTTTTCCATTCAAAGTTTTGTTATAAACGTTTCAACGTAATCGTAGGGCAGTACACGGCAACGAAACAAGTTTACAATTAGAATCCAGACCAAGACGTTCTAGCCTGAGTGGCTTTCCTTCTATGTACCCCTAATCAATTTTTTTTGTAATCTCACTTCCAAACAGTATTTTGTACAGCTCCTAGCAGCCACCCCCCCTCCCCGCCCCTTGATAAAAGCTCCCCCGAGTATAGCCCCACCCAAACTGAACTGTATAAGGCTTTAACTGGCGGAGACATTTAGAAACCAGAATCAATAGCCTCTAGCGACGGTTTTATTCGTTTTTCATAAACTCTCGGCCGAATGAAAATTGTCTTACTTGAGCTTCACGGATACGAAGCTCCTCCTCTTGTTGTTTTTCTAAGTCAAACAGTTTTTGTCGCAAGTCTCCTAAGTCATCGTCTTTAAGCTGAAGGTCTTCTTTTAACTTTCTTCTGTGATTCTCTGAATCTTCCAACTCTCTCACGCGATGCTGAAATAATAACAAGAATGAAAATTAATAATGGTAATAGGACTGAGTGGAGTCCAATTCGGTATGTAATCATACGAGTGATTAACAAAATCGGACGACCGCGAAGCGGGAGTCCGTTTTGTTAACTGAGTTCATATGTGACAGGCGTCCTACACACTGCAAGGATCAGCACTGTCGAAGTCATCGTGATTAGTGAAGAGTGAATAAAGATGGTGAATGTTTAGTCTTGTTTGTTCCGCAAACAATAGTTTACAACGGTAGATTAAGACAATCCACACAGGTGACAGTGTTGAACATAAAGACCAACCTTGTTTTCGTCTCTACTGGTTTGATATTCCTCCAACAATTGTTCCTTTTCCGTAAGAACGCGTTCATATTCCTCCTGAAGTTGCCGATGTACCGTGCTAAGAAATCATAACAAGCACATGAAACATTAAACACAAGGAATAAAAAAAAAAAACAAGTGCTAAGAAGCAATTCATCTTCATCTCATAAGCCACACCAGTTTAAGACAGACTTATGATTAAAAGAACTTTATTATTAACATTATCATTATCATTGTCACTATTACTATTATTATTATTATTATTATTACTATTATTTATTAATAATAATGATATAATAATAATAATAATAATAATCGACTATTTCCTCAGGATAACCCTTCAGTACAAAGTACTGTTATCAACGGGGTCCTACTAATGCACGTAAATATATGAAAGATCTAAAATTTGAAGTGTGGAGAGAGATGTTAAAATCTCTTTATATAATGTTATAAAAGCCAAGTTTTTCCTAAGCTAGGAATAAAAATTAAGAAGACGACAGAAGTAAAGTGATATATTATAATTAGAAAGTAACAACCGTCACGATTCTAAAACAACAAAACGCTAAGCAAAAAATGCTGAAAAAAAAAGTGCAGAAACGTGTTGTACGAAATCGCGGAAAAGGAACAGTGGAAGCGCGAGGTAAGTGACGTAAAGCGCGGGAAAAATTGCATCACAATGCGGAAAGTAGAGTGTATTATGAAGCGGTACACGGGGGAGTTGTATAAAGAAGTACAATTTGGGTATTGAACCTGGTTGGTGGAAAAATAATTACAACGTTTCATCAATGTTCAGGGTTGTCAGAACAAGTGGTGTTTATGTATGGTGAGTCTGAATATATACTGTATGCTCAGGGTCCGGCGTAGCCAGTATGACGCAAACTGAGGCACTTGCCTCAGTCATTTTCTCGTTTCCGGCTGTAGTTTCTTTTTTGAAGGGGGAAAGTACAAAAGCTGCTAAATACCTTTATTATATCTCTCAGTTAGTACGCGCGCTGTGATTGGTCAATTTAGCGCGCCGTATTCTCCTGTACGGCCCGCTAAAATTTAAAGCTGTTTTTATTGCCAAAATGTTTCGTGATTTATCGCCAAGTGTTCTTAACTTTTTTAACAAGTAAAAGTTTAAAACCGACCGAGTTTTTCCCCATCGATTTATGGCCCGCGCGCTTCGCGCTTGGGCCATAAATCGATGGGGAAAAACTCGGTCCGTAACTTACAGTACGGCCCTCGAATTCGGTTATTAAGAGGTATATAGGAGGAAAATTTAACCATCGAGATTGCCTCAGTCATAATTTCAGTCAAAGTCGTATGCTAATGGTGCAAAATGTAAACAAGGACGTCAGCAACGACATTCCTATATACAAGTAGTGTGTGAACTGAAGTGAATGAAATTCTTACGTCAGGCAAACTGTATTAACCTAAATGTACCTGTCAGCCTCTAGCTGTACTCGTGTCCTCTGTAACTCCACTTCCATTGCCGTCACTTGCTTTCTAAGAGTCTTGATAATTTCATCTCTTTTAGTCCTTTGACTTTCACTGTCTTCAGTAATCTTGTGAAGATGATCTTGATACATATTTTCCCTTAAAAACAACAAAACATACTGATTAACACCTTTGTTAAAAGCACACATCAGTAAGGGTTTGGAGTGATTGAGAGGCATGTTTGAAAGGTTACAATATGACTACCAGAGTTTTCACCCATAAAGAAAAAAAAGAGAGTGCCTGAATTATCCTTGACCAGAAAATTTACTCCATAAAACTCCATTACTCCAGCAACATTCTTATCCTTCAGTACAGCTGAGCTAGCTTTCGTAATTTTGGAAAACTGTGAAAATTATTTTAATGGAAAATTAAAAAAAAGAAAAAGAAAATATAACACACCCAACCACACTTAAAGACATCAAGGGTGGATTTAACGAAAAGAGGGAGACAGGAGCTTTTGGTACATGTAGCATGAGTGTAGAAGATACATAACTCATGTCCCTAGCTTAAGGGAGGTCTGTGCTACGAAAAAAGAACTTCTAATGGGGTGGAGCACGTAAAAGATAAAGTATGTATACAAGCCAAGTTGCCCATCAGGCCAGAGCTAATATCCCGGTTTCTGTAACATGAAGCGACTATGAGTATTTATCTACTTCCCCCTGGATGGGATGCTAGTCCATTGCAGGATTACCCCTAGCATTAAGTTTGCCGGTACCCATTTATTCACCTGGGTGGAGAGATGCACTGAGAGTTACGTGTCTTGCCCAAGAACACAACAAAATGCCCCCGGCCAGGGCTCGAATCCAGACTGCTCAATCTGGAGACGAGTGCACTAACCATGAGGCTACCGCTCCCAAAGGGTGGGCCAGGGACTGAGGTTTAATTTACTGTCCCAATCTCCCCACCCTCTGGATTCACTTATGAGTGATGACACATGAAGAACTTACTGTTGTGTGTAATCGTCCATTATCCTTTCTCTTTCTGCTGCAAGAGACTGATTCTCCTGAATGAGTTGTGTCACCTGAACCTTCAGCGACTCCATGGTCACCTCAGCAGTTGATAGTGCTTCGCCTTTTCTTGCTAATTCCTCTTTCAACTCGTTAACTTCACGTTCACGAGTTTCATTCATTTCATTGGACACATCGCTTAGTTGTTTCTTTAGGGACTCTACCTCCTCTTCTCTGTTTGAAAAGGGCATAATAACAATATTTTTTTCACCTTATTTTACAATCAAAGATCATGGTTTTATAAATATGGCTGCATCAACATTTTAATTTTTAAAATGTGTACAGTATACTTTTATACGTGAGTAATACAAAATTAATCTTAACCGCCATAGGTATTTGTCAAAAAAAAAAAATGATTAACGAGAAATCATTATTCCACAAGCTCACACTGGATATGACATGATAGATTAGCCAACGAGGCAAACACAATCATCAATTTGGCTATAATTAACTCATATCCAGCAAGTGCAATGGAGTAATTGTTTATTAAAACAGCCCTAAAATATAGAAAACTAAAATAAATAAATAAATAAATAAATAAAAATGCCCCCCAAAATTATGCATATGCTTGCCATATTTATAGAGCATGGTATAGTTGCTCATATACATGTACCATGAGGGCTGAGCCAATGATTTTGAAACTGCATTATCCAACGATCCAGTTTTAAGTAATAGTAGTTGCACCATTTTCAGGTTAAAAAAAACAAAAACAAATTGGCAACATTTGTTTCAATATAAGAGGAAACCACTGTACACAATCACTTGACTGAAAAAGTTTAACACTGGCAAAAAACTTAATGCAACAATGTTCAATGGCAAAAACACTCAGGATTTATGTGTAGTCCCATTTGGGGTAATTAAAAACATTTGACCAAATGATAATAAAAATAAAAAAAAACAACCAGAAAAAAGAAAAAAGAAAAATCGGGAACAATGGAACAATAATAGCTATATGGTTAATTTAATACCGATATCAGAGAGAAATACAGCCAATCAGAATATAGGAAAGCCGTTGTTTACTCAGTGGTATTACAGCCAACCTTCCTATTGTGTGCAGCACATATGTCACCTGATTGTGTTGGCCAATGTATTTTCTACACTGTGGTATAAAATAGTTATGCAATCCTCTCTCATGGTAAACCATGGAATATTCCACTTCTCACTTGTATTTTCTTTGTACACAAGGCTTGTGTGTATACTATGAAAATACAATTGACTCATGGGATATTCCATGGTGTACTACTCAAAAGCATTGCATAGCTAGAATGTACTATCACAAATAAAAACATGTATTGCCAGGTTATAGGGTTCTTAATTATGGCTTTGCGCATGCACCATTCATGAATCTTTGCTCCAGAGGAATAAATGAGACTTTGAATTAAACCCACTTTTGAGAGCAATCTTCCTTCAGCTTCTGGCATTCTGCAAGCAAGTTTTCCTTCGTCTCCATGAGCTTGGTCACATTAACTTTCAGCTGCTCGGCATTATTTAAAACTTTTGCCATTGCTGCATCTTTGAGTTGTAACTCCTCCTTCAACTGATTAACCTCATGTCCGTGTGTCTCATTGAGTTCATCTGACACACTGCTTAGCTGTCTTTGCAGTGTCTGTGTCTGTTCTTCTTGCTTTCTTCCTTCTTCCAGAAGTGTGTCCTTTTCCTTTAGAGCTTTTGCCAGTTGAAGTTCAAGTGTCTTCTTCTCCTCAAGGAGCTACGAAAGAGCGAACAAGTGCTATTAATAACTTCACTACTTAGCTACTTGATTCAGTTCAAAATAATTTTTTCCGAAAGATTTTCTGTTTTCATTTTTTCTCTTCTAAGCAAGATAAATAATATTATTAACAGCCTGATTAACTTATGATCGTAAGAAGGGTTAAACAGCTTTTGAATAACCAGGCCTGGAGATCGCGCCCATTTGTCCAGGTGAGCCTCAAACCTCATGGGTGACTACAAGTTGTCCATATTTGAGGCACATTTCTTAAGGTCACTTATATTACTCACATATATGGCGAGTGCTATAAAATTATATTTCAATCTCTGTTGAGTAACTACAGTTGTGAACAGACTCATTTTTGGCAAAAACAGTGGCTTGAGAAATGAAGATATTAAAATTAATGAAGAATGAAGTTTTGAAGGGGTATTAATATAAGGGGTGGCAAATATTAATGGCCCTTTGAAAACTCTGGGTCTCGCAAAATTGTAGTCGAATCTCAGGGGTCTCGCAGTCTCATTTTTTAGTGGTTATGTGCATCTCGCAGTCTCAATTTTTATATGAAGCTGTCTCTGAATCTTGGATTCCTTGGTTTATCTGTTTTTATAAATGACATTTTCCTGTCACTTGATATTGAATTTCAATGAAGCAACTTACAAATATTATTTATTATTTCCGAGAAAAAGTTAATCCCAACTTCTTTTAAGAGAGAGTCCACCTGAGGACCATGCAGGCAAGTCTACAGCACACGTCACTGATTCCCCTGAAACCTGGCACACTTAGGTCATTAACCAACTAGTACATTCACCAAGTGCAACAGTTTGGTTTAACTGTCTATTGATTATGAGATATGTCAATCAAACTGTCAGACAATGAAAAGTGTTCAAATTTATGGTAAAAATATACATGAAGTTTGATCATCTGTTGCAAGCTAGAAACAACAGGAAATGACATGATATTTGTACATAGAATAGTTCTAATCTCTAACAACAATAGAACGTTGACTTAACTTCTGTGGCTTATCTCATGTGACCAGGAGCTAAATTTCCATTCCCCCTAGTCAGGTCATACCTACTGTAAGTAGTAGGGTCTCAAAAAGTCGCTGTTTGTAGAGATGCGGTGTTTTTCCAATCAAATTCGAAGCTATCTAAAGCTTGCCAAAGAAATGATCTTTCAGTTTAAAAAGCAAAAACTCTGTAAAGGACTCTGTGGGAAAAGCTCTCTTTGCATTGAACTAATGTTTGTTTGTGACAATATGCAAATGAGCTCGACAAGGAAGTACTGTCAGAATGGAGTGGAAATAATAATATGTAAATAAAACGTTACTTAACGAGAAGAGAAACCTTGTTATGAAACATTTTGAAACTCCAATTTAGTTATTTTGCTAGTATTTAAGCTGCTGTTTGCTAGCTCGCATATAGCTAAGCCGCAAACATCATAAGTTGTCATACAAACCTCGCACCGAAGTGAGACGTTTTCATAGAAAGCCACATCATAGCATTTAGAAATCACTGCCTTGAAGGTAGAATAACATAGCTCGTTTGGCAACTAAGCTTCATTTTGTTGTGTTTCCAACACCATAATAATTTTGCTGAACAGATGTTATCGAGCCACTCGGCCAGCTGGCAGCATCACATCCAAGCATTTTAATACTTCAACGACTTGTTTTACTGATTCTTTACCATCCAGTCACATGTTTTGTTCAAACAGTGACAACAATTTTTTTCTCCGCAACGAAATCTTATATTACTTATTTCTTTTCCATGCAATGGTACCGGTAATCACCAGAACATTGATTTTTTGCATTGTTGTTTTACTATAAGCAACACACCAGCTGGAATGATTGATTACGTGCAAGAGTATGTCACTTGTGACATCTTACAGCTGTATTTCGTATCAAATTTCACCCTGATTCCAATCACATTACGATCGCTAGGCTTCTTTTGAATGCTCTGTTAGAGGGCATTCCAAGAAAGAGCGTGGTGTATCTGGTCGGTACAAAGACCACTAAAGACCTCTGTTATAAAACCACATCCGTGGGTGTTGAAGTGGAATGGAAACTTTGTATGTTTGACGAGGCAGGAGATTCCCTTACTATTTGCCCTCTTCACAATTCCCTTGTCAAGCGGCACATGATAACACATTGATTGATTGATGATAGTTAAAACTCACGCTGACCATTTGACCGCAAAACTATCATCCACTATCACTGACTATGAATAATGGCATCAATTGTCATTCAGTTTGAACTTAATAATAAGTTTTTCGGTCAATTGTTTCCACTCAAATCCAGGTAGGCTCACATTTTTGCAACATAACTAAGCAGAGCTGAAATTGTGGAAAACCTTGAAATTGGTAAAAAAAAAAGAAGCTTATATCAGGGGGTACTCCCATATAAATAGGACGGGAGTGCTTGTTGTACCTTTAGAGATTTAAAAAGTAGTTATCGTACCTCTTAGGGTGTTCAGCCTTAAAAGGTCCACAGCGGATGCTTTCCCGGTACCTGTTAGGGTATATGGAATTTGGAATCTGGTGCTTACTCAACTAACCTATCCATTATGCCATGACACTCGTTGTAATTCTTTGTTTTCCTGCACTGACATATAGCACGTTTTTGTCCATCAAAATCTCATGATAGTTTTAAACTTTACAGACTTTTTTTGCTGGTATTTATTAAACAAATAAAGGCTTCATAAAATAGTAGGTAAAGAAACTTTTGAAACAATGCCGCATCGTCGATTTTCAAACTTATTTTTGCCCTAAAATCCTTTCCGCTCAACACTTCCTTCAGGGCATTATTTTTAAAATGCGCGTGTTACTAGACCGCTAAGTCATTTGAAATCTCAGTGGTATCATTGCAATCTAATTACTTGATATTCATTACACCAGCATTTTGAGCTGGAAAGGTTTAATGCTTTTACAAATGTTTTAGTCGAAAAATGGATCAAAATATGGTCAATTTTTGGCCTAAATTTGATCATGAGCATGCTGACCGCAATATCTCCTAGACATTCAAGAATTTCATGATAATATTCTACCCACTGCATTACCACCTCATTATGTAACCCTACAAAGAATTTGAACAAAATCTGAGAGGGTCGATGTCGACTCACATTTTAATACTGCATGGTTTTCATATGGACGCTCTCTTAAATTGTCTGAATTCCACAAAAAGCTACTGCAATGTCCATTTTGGCGCCAGAAAAACAGTCGATATCATAACGTAGTGTGTTATAATCGAATTTCAAGTCCCAGCCAGTTTGAACAAGTTGGTCAAAAGGCTGTACAAGCTCATTCTAACTCTCACCTAAATCTGGGGCTCAAATTTTGAGAGTCTGAAAGTCTTTTGCTCACACTCAAAACACTTTGAAGTCTTGGTCTCGCAATCTAAAAGGTCAAAATGTCTCAGGCTCGCAGACAAAAATGCTTGTCTCGCCGTCTCGCAAAGTCTCACATTTACCATTCGCTGCCCCTAATATGAAGACTACTGGTATTCCAAATGTTTTGTCTCGAAGGGATGGTCTGGAATCTGCCTGGGGATTGCTGTTTGACAAATGAAAAGCATACTGTACATGCCACCCTCTCATGTTCATCCCATGGGTGACTAGCAAAGCAACAAATTGAATATCTTGACTCCTTTAATTGTAACTTACTTGCTTATGTTTATTTTCCTTCTCAAGAACAGCATTCTCTCTGTTCAGAAGATCTCCCTCTCGATTCTGGTAGATCCAGACATGTTTCTTTAGTTTTGCAATTAATTCATCCTTGTGTGGTGCGTCTCCTGATTCTCCAAATGACTCATTGTCACTTCCCTGAATGTGAGATCAAATATATAGCGAAAAAGTTTTTCTACTTGCTGGTCTCCTTGAGTTGTTCTCAACTGATATTTACACAAGAAGCTGGGTGAATCTATTTTGCATTTTTTATCACCTTTTAAAATTACACTTTGCTTTATGAAAACTAATCAATCAAAAGCTCAACAATAATTCATCAAGTTTAAATAATAGAGCTGAAATAATAATGATACATAACCTTTTTGAACTAATCTTAATCTATAGGCATTTCCTTTTTTACAGTTGTATTTAGAATTCTGTTTTCTCCTTAGTTTCAGTTTCAATTAAGAACATTTACAAAGCAATTGAGACAGTGTTTTATCACATTTCCAAACACTTTAGGGTTCATCGAAAATACATTATGTACTCTGCTACATGAATGCATCACATTTTCAAGTCTTGCCTCTGTGTTTGGAAATTTGTTAGAACACAGTCTCACAAGATTGATACAGACCCTTTTTCATAAAATAATGTCTGCCAATTTAAAATTCCTTTGTATCTATTTAAATCTGAATTGTCAACTTATAAATGAAGTTAGTCAGGCTAATTTTAAAACTTACAGAAGCATTTATACATGTAATTGGCAGCCATTTACAAAAATGGTCTACGTTTCATGAATCAATGATGAAATGGAGCATATCGCCCTTGAAAAGCCACCATTTTTGACAATGAAAGGGTATGAAAAAGCATCAATTAAAAGCAGTACAACTGGGTCTCTTGTGTACATTTTGCATCGTGAAACATCTCAAGAGTAGCTGGTACAGCAAGGACTACAAGATGTTGTTTTTTCCTTTTGCCAGCTGGTGCTTACCGAGAGCTCTGAACAGATTTTTAACAATAATACTAACCTTACTCTCCTCTGGTTGCATCTCCATTTCTTCAATCTTTCTTTTGCAGATATCCCTCTCATGTGTCAAGTTGTTAACATCTTCCCTTAGCTTTCCAACATCCTCTCTCTCAGTTTCAAGCTGTTGTTTTAGCTCGGCAATTTCCTTCATCAATTCTGTTTGATGAGCTTCCTGTTTATCAGCAGCGTCCTGATTCTCTCGCTCCTTCTCCTGGTAGGCTTGGAGCTGCTGTTTCATTGTTTCAATGTCCTGATTATTCTCAGTGGTTTCCTGTGGGATTAACAAGCTATATCTTACTACATGAATCTGGGCAGGAATCACATGTTATCAACACCCAGCATGTTGTCGGGAGAGGCAGTGTCCCCAACACTTGCACAAGAAAATAACAAGAAGACACTTCAGACCAATGAAAAACATATCTGTTGATTGTCCACCAGAGATCAGAGGAGCCAGGTGGCTTTGCAGTGCCCAGTCTTTACTCTAACTTGCTTTAGAAGCATGACATGACTAGGATCATTTTGCATGGTTACCCTGGGCTGGGTTGTTCAAAGCCTGATTACACTAACCTAGGATTAGTGAGAATTTTGATTTGAGTTTTGTAACTCTTTGGTCGTGTTTTCTGTTTGTATTGTTTGTCCTTTAGTGTTGAATTTGAAAAATCTCAAACTATAAAAAACATATCCAGCGAAAAACATTTATATCCAAGAAAAATTAATACTTCGGTTAACTTTTAATCCTTGGTTAGCATTAACTGGCTTTTGAACAACCTGGCCCTGGACAACAGTTAGACACCTGTACCCATTAACTCACTGGTGTCAGAGGAGACTGAAATACTATAAGTTAGCTGTCTTTCCCAGAGCCTCCCTATTGCAATACTCTGAAATGGAGTAGGAAAATTGTTAAATTCTTGCACTTGGAATTAATGGCATACAGGATATTTAAGCCAAAAATTAACAGGACGTGGAATACTCTGAGGGCCCCCCCCCCACCCCCCCCCTCCTCACTGTAATGGGACATCACATTTACATGTAATACTTTCCTGCTTTAGCTGATCTTAATATCCCATACCCCATAAATTGCTCCCCTAAATAGCCCACATCCTGGTATTTTTTTAGCTAAATACATTCAATATCCCCCTAATAGAGTCTCAAATGTGCTATGGATGTTAATTGTTTCTTGTTTATTATTACCTTTCCTTTCTCGCGGTCTTCAGCCTTCTTCTTGAGCATCTCATTTTCTTGTCTTACAGCATCAAGATCCTCCTGTAGATTGCTCAGTGCCTCTGTTTGTACTTGAAGCTGTTGGCATAGTGCAGTGACCTGTTCTGAAACTGCCACAGAAGCTTGAGTGTCAGTTATCTCTGGCTTAATTTCTTCCAACTCTATCATCTGCCTTTGCTCGATATCGGCAAGTTTCTTCAAAAGAGTGTCATGTTCCTCTTCAAGTTGATTGTACTGCTGTTGCTTTTGCTCGTTCTCAATTTTGAGCTTGTCCAAATCCACTTTCAGTATTTCTTTTTCTGTTTCTAGCTTCCTGTAGTTCTCAGATTGCAATTCTTCAGGACTTGTCTGAATGTCAGATGTTAGAGAATCCAGCGAAATCAGAGTTTCACAGTCATCATTTTCAGTGTGCTATAAAAATTGAAAGGCATTACAACCCAATGAAAACATTGTAAATCTCTACATATCTGACACAAACTGATACATGTGATAAATCTTAACCTGAGAATGGATTTGCTATCCTGATTTTCATAAGACTACCAGAAATAACCTTCAGAGAAACCTACCTCACATATATGGTGTGTTGTAAAAGAAGCACTACTAACAAATTATTTTAAACAGGTGTATCATTTGTTTGCTGTAAATCTTACTTGCTCAGCTTCCCGCATTGCTTTTAAACAGGAAATATGCTCCTGCAGTTTGCTGTTGTTCAGTTCCAGAGTATCTTTTTCAGATTCCAATCTCTTGATTTCTTCTTCAAGAGATTTTACTTGAACAGGATTGCCTTGATCTTCTCGAGCAGCATTGCCATGACGGAGAGATGGCTCATTCAGCTTCGCATCCTTTAGTTTTGACAGTAGCTCCTCAAGTTGCAAATTTTTGTTTTGCTCATTCTTCAGCTCAGTTTTCAGTGTGCAATTCTTCTCTCGGAGTTTCTTCACCACCTCTTTAGCATGATCATACCCTTTTCGTAAAGATTCACTGGCCTGCTTTTGGTTTTTCTGCATGCTTGCCAGATCTTGAAAATACTCCTGGAAAATAAAAGATAAAACCATTATATTCATACTTTGTCTTGACAAAGACCTTGGGTAAGGGGGTAGGGGCAATCCCATATATAAACTATAAGTGTATGTGCTGCTGTGAACGGTATGGTTTTCAGACAGTTTAGTCTGGGATAGGGTATAGAAATCAGACAGTTTTGATCTACAGTCATGGACAAAAATGTTGACACATTTGAGCAAAACAAACGCTTTCTATCTGTGTCCTTCCGTAATTTCAAAAAGCATCTCCTTTGTTGATAGCCAAACCACCCTCTCCCCCTTTTCAGTGTTGAAATACGTTCTGTGGACACTGTCACGTGGCTACAACATTGAAACGGGGAGAGGGGGTTGAAATGTAAAAATTGGAGATTGAAAAACTCACCCAGTCAACGAAACAGGTCTTTTTCAGGGAGTGTCTCAACTGCTTTTGTCCATGATTGTAGGATAAGGTATAATTTATCAGAAAGTGGCCAGTGTATAAATAATTTAGGCTTTAACAGGGTTCTTTACCTGCAGTTCCATAATAGAAATCGAAACCCAGAATGACTTTATACGATATTGATTAAGTTGGACTATGATGGTGGTAATAAAAGTTTCTGCATGGAAAATCACTAGTCTCGGATAGGGCAGGGGGTTTTTGGTGTCTAGGTCTAGAATAGGGTTGCAAAATCAAGCTGATCATGGTCTAGTACAGGGTAAGGGTTTCAGTGTTCCACTGGCACACCCCTGCCCAAAGATTTATAGAGTACCACCCCCCACCCCCCCTGCAGAAGATCTTGTTGGGTTGCATTCATGTGTTGAAAACAAAAACAGGTGAAGGCATAACATGTAGATGTGTTCTACCTCGCACATAATGAAATGAAAAAAGTCACTATGCATGTATGCAGCTAACTGTTCAAGGAGAAGAGTTAAGATGTCGCCTAGCAGAGGCAGTGAAACAATCGAAACACAACCACATGTAAGTTAATTACTTCAGCTTGATATAAAGCATAAAACGTACAACTCTACCTTGAAGGTACACTAGTTTCGAAACCACCCCTATATCAACAAAACCTTTCTCAAGCTAAACATTACCTCAAGAAGTTTACTGTTTTGACGAAGGACCCCTTTCAATTCTTCATTTTCCTTAGCAAGATTCTGTACTCGTTCCACGAGTTCACCTTGAGGTTCTGCTGTACTTCCGGCATGAGCCAAGCTTTCACTTTTGGCAGGAATCTCACTTGTCTTTCCATCCTCGCAGCTGTCCGAGTGTTGAAAATGTTCATTGCATTTGTCCACCACAACAAAGCCGCCAATACTGCTGCCTTCGCTGCTAGACTGTGAACTACTCATTACCTGAGAGGGAGTGAAACTTCCCGATTCAGACATGGCGATATGGGAAAATATTCGTTGAAAGGAAACTGAGCGAACTGACAAGGATCGTTGAAATAAAGTCCAGCTTAACGTTCAACGCTGACTTAAAAGCAGTTGGGATTCTTGACACGAACTAAATCTTCATGGGAACCCAGTGACGCTGTTAAGATCGAAGTTTCGTGTTCGAGAATATTACAAATCCCACTGTGTTCGTCGTGAAGATCGAAGATATAGCTACGAAATTCAAAAGGGTGCAGAGTCTTTGAATCGTGCCACAAGTTCAGCACAATTGAATGCTTTTCCCACTCAAGGTACACTTGAACTTCTTAGTTTAAAGCAAGGCTGGAAGAGAAACAGCCTCATACAAACACCTTCCTTTTCCACCGCGCACAAAAACACTCACTTCGGAAAACGAAAGCGCCTACAAATACCCCGGATTTTGGCGGGGATTCCCCGTAATTTTCTGTGTCATGACGTCAACTACGTCATTTGCTAAAAACAGACTCGACTCATTCCCTCAATAAACAGCGTTTTGATTCCGTGATAAACAGGGGGATAAACCGCAATTAAAGCTCTTTTTTTTTGTTTTTCCTCACGGTTTAATTCTCCTAGTCCTCAGTCAGACATTATTTGTGATTGAGGTGCTATGTCAGACATTGATTAATGGTTCTTGTGCGCTATTTTATTTAGTTGAAGCTTCTTGTTAAGGTGGTATGGTACCCTAAAGTATGGCGATGTTCATGAAAAATTCAATTTCTTGGAAATACAAGACTTAAGACCCTTGAGGACTGGTCAAAAACATTTTGAAACGACCTTGCCGAATTTCCTTCCAGATGAGTGTGAAATTTAAGGAAAGTACACAGTGGTATAAGTTTTTTCACGTGGCAACGGCCATAGCAACGACTGTTTACTATAAGAACGTCACCAAAAATATAGATTATTTTTAACTTATATGAACGAAACTATTTAGAAAAAACTTTTAAGACATGCACAACTCGATTGGTATAATTATTTGTGAAAAG